CATATCACTCCTAGTCACAAATATTCTGTGGTTTCTACATTGTGTCAATCAGGCTAGCACCCTAACTATTCTAATTAAATCTAAGTCTATCATTGTAACTTCTAATTCAGTAGGTCTAAAATGGGGTCTAAGAATGTGTTTTTATATAGGCCTCATGGCCCAGTGCTTGGGAATCATCACAAAGGAAAACTTGCAACCCTTTTGCAATGTCTTACAAAGCCTTGTACAGTGTTACCTACCCTTTGGAGGAAAGAGCGTGCCCCCTTTGTCCTTAAAGCTTGCTGTCACCAAATTGCTCCCTCGTCCTTGTGTCCACAGATCTACATGCACAACTTCATGATGAAGGCTCATTGTATTTGTACCCTAGGGTCACAAAGGGCCCTGCACTGCAAATGCCCCTTCCCTTGGTGTAAGGCACTGCTACCATCCTGAAGTCCTTCATAATTGCTGGACACAAGCCGCTTCCTTCTCATTTTGCTCTAGGCCTGCAGTTCTGTGCTTGGCTTTGTCCACTCAGCTATGAGCTTTTTGGAGGCAGAAACTGTTTATTATTCACTCAAGCTCTTCCTGGTCAACCCGGAGGACTCTTGGTACTGACCAGAAGTTGCTTAAATATCTGTTGAGTTTATACATGAATGAATGAAAGAAATAATAAAGTGTCACAGAAAAATAGTGTGGTATGGCTCATTAACTCTGAAGAATATGCTGTTTGTGCTTAGGAAAGGGGAAAGCTAAATGACAAACACATGGGGTTACTGACCAGCTTAAATAAATAACATAATTTTTATAGCCTTTGTTTTTTAATTGCTCAAAGCAGTTCTCTTTCTGAGTCCTGTTGCCTCGCCATTTGTCTCAGAATGAGAATCTGCAGGTTAATAGAGCTTGCAATTACACCGTCCAGTGCCACAGTTTGTGCCAGGGACTGTGCCCGACTCTGAGTGCAGTGAGAGGAAAAGGGAGGGCCGTGGAAAGGTGACCGGGCAAGGTCCCTGCTCTCCAGAAGCAATTAAATCCCACTCCTCACAACTTTCTACCAAAGATGGGTTCGCTACATGGGAGTTCTGCAGCGATGAATTGAGAATAAAGACATCAGACTTGGCCAGGGGCCCAGCTTCCTGAACATTTCAGCTGACAAAATGTCTCAGCCTGAACACAATTCCCCCACTATGCAATCTGCGGGCCCACTGGTTAACATTGGCAGACATCTCAGAGGTGCCCACGAAGCATAGTAAGTAAGCGGCCCTGAAGTCGGGGGAGGGGTTTCTGCTGCAGGGTATTAGAGAAGAAACAGAAACATCAGCTACCAGAGCGAGCCAAAGAACTGAAGAGGACAAACAGCCCCAATGCATGGTGATGACTCAGTGGGACCACTCCAGGTGACTTGCAATACCACCATTATGCCAGGCACTCAGAAATGACCTGGAGGGTAAAAAGGAGTCTCCTGCGTTTCCATATTCACTAGTCTTCAGTTTCTTGTACTTAACATAATTAACTGTGTTAAATATTTGCCAGCATATCACCCAAAACATCGTCTTTGTGAGCACTTTTTCCCTTTCCCATACACACCCTCAGACATCACCCACTAGTTTGCAGCATGCAACATGGTGAATGAAAAGCAAAACAAAACAATCCCGTTCTCATAGCTAAAAATTTGTATATTTTAGGTTAAGTGTTTAATGCAGCACTAGTAACATTAGTAACAAAATAGGTCCTAGGCGGAAAACATAAATGCCAGTTAACATGTCTAATCTGTCAGGGAAATGTAAAACTAATACAGCTATCAAATATCATTTTCCTAGAGTAACTGCACCAAAGTTAAAAAGTAATAGTTGAGGATAGAGTAGAAGAGAAAGGGAATATCCATAAAAAGAGATTGCTGCTCAGAGTATAAATTTCACAGCACAACTTTTAGAGAGAAATGGAGTATTGTGTGTCAGCCAAAAGTTAAATTATATATTTCCCTTAGTGTTACAGTGTTATCTTTGAGCATTTGCTCTCGGGAAATAATCTGAAGAATGTCCAAAACTACCCAAAGTTGTCCATCACAGCCAGGACGAAATTAGGAATAACGGGTAAACAACTTGAGAAATGGAGAACTATTCATACAAACACAAGTTAAACACTGTAGTAGCCATGCAGTTCTGTGTCAAAAGGAGGATTGTCCACCATACACCTTTAGCTGTAACAAAAAGAGATAGTCTTCAAACGAGAGTACAGATTCCATTCTCTGTTTAAAAATGTATATTTTTGAGGATTTGTATGCAACCCTTAAGAATAAATTGTACAGGCTGGGCGGTGGTGGCCCACGCCTTTAATCCAGCACTCGGGAGGCAGAGGCAGGGGATCTCTGTGAGTTCGAGACCAAGCCTGGTCTACCGATCGAGTTCCAGGACTGGCTCCAAAACAATACAGAGAAACCCTGTCTCGGATAAAAAAAAAAAAACAAGAATAAATTGTGATTGGTTTTATTTGGACACAATGCATAGGAGAAACAATAAGTAATATCCAAATCGTATCCGTATTCATGTGACAAGGAGAAAGAAACTAAGGAGAAAATAGCAGGGTCAGGATGGAAGGCATACTGCAGCTACATACAGACTTCCATAAGACAAATATTATCAACATTGTTTGTTTCAGTGTACCAATGGGCTGTCACAGGGTGCACAGGTACACAGTAGGCCAATACCCAACATTTCCATAATACGGTAGTGCAGGTACAGAACTTGAAGAGTATAGATAACATTAAAATGTACTACCATCGTTAGAATCATATGATTTTATGAATGCATTATATGAGCCTGGAAGAAGAGTCACCAACATGATAATTTTAATCATATTCAGATGTAAACTAATGGATCCTATCTACTTTGTTCTTCAGACCTGAGTTTTTATCTGTCATTTCACAACAAACATACATCACCTTTAAAATCAGAAAATAACAAAGTGCTTGTTCCTTGGTAAAAACCTAGGAGCAAAATCAGGGGACATCGCTTTTCCAAATCTTGCTAAAATAAAACATTTTCTCCAGAAAGAGTGATTTCATTAATGTGATCAATGGTTGATCAAACGGTATCACTGTCAGTCACATATGAGGAAATGGACAGTAATGCTCCCAAGTAATTTCAAAAGAGGATTGTGTAACACTGGAATTCATGGGGGCATGAACTCCCAGGAAGGCTAATATCCACATGTCACAAAAATGAACCATCCCTCAATGAGCTCAATAAGGAAGGTATAAGGGACAGAAGCCTCTCCATTTATAAGTGATCCTGACAGAAAACAGAAATATATATTTTAGTAGGAAAAGTGACTTGATTGTTGTGGGGCATTATTTTATTTGAGTGAGCCACTCCTACCTTTGTTTAGACAGTAACAGCTCATGAGTCCTTAAAATCATTCCTTCTCAAAACATTTCCACATGGATGCTCTCAGCTAATCCTCCCAAGAGCCCTGTGAGTCAGGTAGGGTAAAAAGGACCACTCCTGTTTTATAGGTTGGGAAACTGGGGCTTGAGAGGACAAGTGTCAAGTCCAAGCCCAGAGTGTGCACTCTAGACATCCTTCTGAGGCCTTCTGAGAAATGTCTGGTTAAAATTCCTTGCCGGGCGTTGGTGGCGCACGCCTTTAATCCCAGCACTCGGGAGGCAGAGGCAGGCGGATCTCTGTGAGTTCGAGGCCAGCCTGGTCTACAAAGTGAGTTCCAGGACAGCCTCCAAAGCCACAGAGAAACCCTGTCTCGAAAAACCAAAAAAAAAATTCCTTGCAGTGGGCACTTTCCTGTCCTCCAATAGGGTCTTCTGTCTTTTAGTGTCTTATTTTCACTTGGCAATATTGCCTTCAGGTCACCTATGATTGCTCTTTAGTCACTACTTCTTTGATTCTGAACGGAATGATGACTCCATCTATTCTCAGCCTGTGAATATTCATGTTCTTCTTTTACACGAGAGCTAAACTCCAGACTGTTTGTTTCTCTTGAAATTTGAGGTCATTTCTATCACTGGAGGGATTACAATTGGAAATGTCCACACTCATGGCATTTACAGAGAATCTGTAAACAATTTTGTGTGTCACATTTTTAGACAATCTCGGCTTTCTAAAAGAGGTTAGCTTACGAGTCAGAGGAGACAAATCTACTCAGCAAATACAAATTCTATAAAACAACAGACCTTAGGGGATCTAAGATCAGCCATTCTCCTTACCCTTACTTTATTAGGAGAAGCAATATGTCCTATTTTGAGGGCAGTGTCCCCAGTAAAATCTGAAAAGGTATCCATGGACTGTGTGCAGACCCAGAGACACAGAATTACCATTTTCAACCAGCCCACGTGATGCTCCAGCTCTTGGGTTTACTGGCTGAGGCCACCTTAGGCAAATTCCTTGTACGTTGCTCTCCCCATTGACTTCCCAGAGTCATGGTGAAAACTAAATGGTCATGAAAATATTTTGTATACCGTAACTCATAATAAAAATATGATGGAGATAGATGATAGATAGACAGATAGGATGTGATAAATGATAGACAACTTTTGAAGTTTACTGCCATGAGTGAGAACAGTGTAGTAAGTAAAATGAGGCAGCACCAGGAAGGTGGCCAGGTTTCTGCAGTCAGAACAGGACAGGAAGCTGGGTGCACATTAATGTTGTACCTCTGCTGAGCCTACTGGCCAAATCGCTGCTTACCAACATACACAGATAGCATCCTTTCCCCAGCCAAGGTGTTCAACTGGGCTTCCAGCTGCATACCAAACTGGGCTGACCCCCAAATGTCATTGGCAGTACTGTCACAAAGAAAGTTGCTTTATTTGGCGCATTCATTAGGCTAGGGAGGGTGTCTTCAAGAATATAGGTGATTCATAATGTTATTTCAAAGGCAAATTGTGGTCAAGATGAGCAGAGAAGAGGAGAATGTGTATGTTTACAAATGAGAAAGGAGGAGGGTATACAAGAAGTCCCTGCCTTCTCGTAAGAGTATTCAAGATGAGAATAAGGACTCAACTTCAATCTCTCAAGGAAATGCTTGAGAGGGAAAGGGAACACAAGCCAACATTAGGCCAGGAAGTCATTTTAGTGACATTTGGGTAAGGTCTTGAAAGCAGCTGTTACTGGATAGTTAAGTCTGAAAGAAGGAAATAATGAAGAAAACCATCTGAATTAAGGTGCCCTTTATTTCTTAATAATTTTTTCAGCTTTGATAGATGGGATCTATTCCAAAATGTCCAAAAAAAAACATTGTTGCTATAGAAACAGGTAAGCAGATTAAACTTGAAAGACCAGTTTTAGAACAAAGAATTTAATAGTCAGGACTCAAGCAATTAACCAAGAAAACATTTTAAGTAAATATCTTTCGGGTTTGTTATTTGTATATTAATTCCAAGAAGATAAAACACTATTATAGAGTGAGAGCATCACATTTTCACATTTTAATTGCACCATTACCGGCATAAAAGGCTATGCTTACACAATTAGCAAAGAGACCTTATTAAACAGAAGTGCACATCTCTAACTCTCTCTTGATTACATCGTAATTGAGAAATATCACTGTAAATTCAACAAGAACAGAATCATTTGATTTTCGTACAGTTCTCAAGTTTCGGAAGAACTTCGAAAATGGAAGAGACAATGAACTACACAAACTTTCCTGTAACCAGTCTCTACAGCAGTAAAATTTTTTAAAAAGAAATGTGTGTAGGCTGACAGTTGTTAATATTTATGCTTTGTTTCTTCCCTGCTAAACAGCAAGATCGTGAGAGGAGAAAGGTATCAAAGACCCAGCAACCAGCTGCCTTGCCCGGCTACTTTGGGGTTCAGTTCTTCCTTCCTGGGACTACCCTGGACCTCACCTTGGGGACCTGCTGAAACCAGAGTTCTGAACGGAACTTTGCATACAGATGGAGACTCAGGGATGAATAAACAGGCAGCCCTGTGTTCCTCTCCCCTTTTGTTTTATTTCAAATGAAAACAATCTTGATAAAAATGAATACAATATGTTCATTCTACCAAACTCGTGCTGTCAGAAGTTACATTTATGGGACGGGGAGATTGCTGGGATATTATCTCTTCTTGTGTAATTGCAGAGTCAACATGCAATGAAGTATGTGAGTGTGTTCACAAATGTATGTTTGTGTAAGCTAGGGAAGGAGGACCAGGATGTGGCTGGAATCTTACCATCTCGTTCTCGTCTCCTTCATTGAGCAAAGCATGCTGGCCCTTTTCAAGGTGGTCCCCCATGGAAAGGCGCTCCACTCCTGCTCCCCGAACCTTGCTTGCAGATGCTTCCAGGACCAACTCCAGAGCCACCTCCAGACCTCTGAATGAAAGAGTTAATGATCCTCCAGGTTAAAAACTCCTTCTTGAGCACACACCTTCTTTCAGCAAATGACAATACTTAGCAAAGTGGACTCCTCCCCCGGGCACTTTGTGCCAGGAGGAATTTCTGGCTGCTCCCTGCTCCTGCATTCTCTCGAGGCAGCTGTCTCCGAGGAAGCCGCTCCCATGCCGATCTTTTTGTACCCAATTTACAGGGAAAAGAACTCAGTGCCTGCCCACAGTCTGCCAGCCTAAGGCATCTGACTGCAAATCCAGCAGGACAATGAGGAGTTGGCAGGAACCTCTGGAGAAGCAGGCTCAAGAACTCCCAGGTCGCTGCTTTATTCCCAGAAACTAAGAAACTGGGGTGTGGGGAGGCTAAAAGAACTAAGGTTTTCATTTGCTTAGTTGAAATCCCTGATTCATAGGGTTTCAGTGCGGTTCTCATTCGTTTTGCTTGCAAATAGTACAGATTATTCACAATCCACCTTAACAAATATTTATAATTCAATTTCCTTTTTGCAAACACACAGAAATATTCCATTTGGTATGTGTATAGACTTAGGCTTGCTTTTCTTGAAAAACATGTAGTAAAGGCATAAAAGTATAATCAACTATTCCAGGCAGTCTTTTTCAGGTCAGCTCTTAGAGATGTCTAGAAACAAAATATTCGCGTGATCAAACAACAAAAATGGGGGTGTTTGGTTCTGTTTCTTTGACTTTTTCTTTATTTTTATTTTATGTGTATAGGTTTTAACCTGCATATAAGTCTATGCACCATGTGTGTACCTGGTCCCTTCAACAGCCAGAGGAGGGCACCCGGTCTCCTAGAACTGTAATCACAAATGGTTGTAAGCTGCCATGTGTGGGCTGGGAATCAAACCCAGGTCTTCTGGAAAAGCAACAAGTACTCCCTTCACCACTGAGCAATCTCTCCAGTCACCCTCAATAATTTTTTTATTTAAACACAAGTTATGAAAAAATTGGTTTTATCATAGACGCCTGGAATGGCCAGGTCACATTCATTCTCCTCAAGCTGATGTCAGAATTCAAATAGATACATAAGTCTGCTAGGAGGCAGCTTCTTATTCTGCAAGCTGGAAATAAGTCTAGGATAACTGTGGAGTCCCAGTGTGGTGTGGAGAGGCATGGAAAGAGATGTATCAGTCACACATCTCCGAGCTAGTCTTGTGTGGCCTTTGACCTATAAGAACTGACTTGGAGAACCTGGAAATACCTGTCAGGAATGCCAAGGGAAGGGAACGGTGAACTGTAAAAGTGTGCTGACAGCACTGACCAAGTGTCATGGCTGCTTTTAGACTAAATGGTGAGTTTTAGCATCAGTCGGTAGCACAGTGGCTAAGAACGTGTACTTTAAAATTGAATGGCTTGGCTTCAAATTTGGGTCTTACCAGGTAGCACCTTTGCCACTTTGGGATATAGCGAGCTACATAAACTCCATCAACCTCTATTTGCTTGAACGTATGTGAGAATAAAGACAACAAAACCTCCCTCTTGAAGCCATATCTTGAGAAATAGGACCTGGGAAGATGTTCAGTAAAAGGTAGTTAATGTCCACACACTGCCCCTTCCAGATGGCACTGATCTCTCCAACTTAACACAGGTAGCCCTCACAGATTGAGATAAAGGTGTATGAAGAAGGAAAAAGACAAACATACAGGCAGTCAGGCAGGCAGACAGACAGACAGACAGATCTTGCGCAAATGATAAAGATAAAATAAATCTAAAAAACAAAAACAAGCTAAGAAAATTCACTGTAACAGTAATCATGTATATACATATTTGTGTGTATGCAAGTACAGTGTGTAGTCCGTGGAATTTCCAAAAAATATTATTTACCCCAATAATAAAAGCAAAATTAATATTTTATCACCTGGAGACAGAGGAGGAGTAGATGGGGGAGTTACAGGGGATGGAGGAAGGAACAGAAGGAGAGAAGGGGGAAACTATGATTGAGGTGTAAAATAAATGAAAAATTAATTAACAAAAATATTTTATCACAAGGTAAACATAAGAATTTTCTTTTTAGAGATAATGAAGACAGTCTAGAATTAGTGATGGTATATCTTTGTAAATTTCCCACAATTCACTAGTTTGTATTTCAACAAGCAATCATCTAATATATTTAGCAAAGGAAATAATAAAACAAAAAGATTTCCAATTGCATCTCAACTTTAGCAAATTGGTAGGGTAAGTGGCAGAGCTAATGGGTAGGTGTGGGTCATATTTAACTCCCACCCACCCACCCCCAGCAGAACTGGCAGTGCTAGGATTGTATCCTTTCAAGAAGAACCTTGTATCTGCTTGGCAACTCACCAGTTGTGATGTTAAGTGAGTACTGATTGGGACTGCAGGAGAAACTGTATGCTGTCTTACCCCAGCAAACACATTCTCTTAATATTTAAGACAAATATGAGGGGGAAGTTAGATCCCTACAGTCATTAAAAAGATTTGGAAAGAAGGAGAAGGAGGAGGAGGAGGAGGAGGAGGAGGAGGAGGAGGAGGAGGAGGAGAAGAAGAAGAAGAAGAAGAAGAAGAAGAAGAAGAAGAAGAAGAAGAAGAAGAAGAAGAAGAAGAAGAAGAAGAAGAAGAAGAAGAAAGAAGAAGAATTTCAATCAATGTGCATCAAAACTCATGGTCCAAAGAACTGAGAAGTCTCCAGTAGTGAAATATTTTCTTCAGGCCTCTCAAAAGTGCTAGTGTTGCAAATCTAGGCTTTATGTATGTCTGCAAGTTCATGGGCACTCTTGCCTTCACTTGGCCCGACTCGGCTACACACAGGAACCCAGAGACAGCAGATAGAGTAGGACAGCCCATTTAGAGTTCATGTGCATCGAGAGGTTACTACTCCAAGCATTCTGGACAATACCCACTGTGGTTGATATTATGCTGGTCACGCGCACTCAGCAGATGAGGAAACCTCATGCTGAAAATAAGTAATGTGTGTAAATGAAAACAATTATCAAGTGTCAAAATGAACACTTGAACTCAACAATGACACAACTCTCTCAATTCATGTTCCTTCTTACTAGGACAGCACTGTTTCTATAGGTCTGTTTAGCACATCCAAAGTGATATGACCTTTCATGACCTGAAGAGCCTCTCTGTGAAAGAAGCATTTGAGAAAGGACTATATTGGGAAAATTATTCATCAGATGAAGATATGGGTACCAGGGCAGGGAGAGAGCCCTTGAAGCGATTAATCCATGGTACAGAGAAACACAGTATTTTGTTCAGAGTCACTTCCTCCTCTTCACTGCCCATAAACAAATGTAAGGGGAACAAGATGTGACAAGAAGCACAGATATGCCAGGTGGTGGTGGTGCATGCCTTTGATCCCAGAACTTGGGAGGCAGAGGCAGAGGCAGAGGCAGAGACAGAGAGGCCAATCTATGAATTCAAGGCCAGCCTGGTCTACAAGAGCTAGCTCCAAGACAGCTAGGTCTGCACAGAGAAACCCTGTCTTGAAAAACAAAAAAGAAAAAGAAAAGAAAGAAACACAGATAAACCCACCCTCTGCAGGTTTTTGAATACCAGGCCTGGGTTTGGACTTAACACAAAGAACAATGATAACGTAAGTATAGTTTGTTCTCTCAACCTGTGTTGTAGGAGCAGCTGCAATTGCATATACTGAAGCAACTGGGTCCTAATATGTAATGTTTGCACAACCTGTGGCTGATGAAGAATAAATCTTCATCTAGAATATCAGGATGATGCTCATTATTTTGTATAATTCATATTTGCCCTTAAATTTGTGGAGAGGAATGATCTTCAATAGTTAAATCTCATGTGGAAGCAAAGCCAACCCCCAAATCCTAAATCATACACAAGCCTCCTAAAGCGTGACCAAGGAAATACAAGGAAGGAGTAGGGCTAGGGAGGTTTTGTGAAGGGAGAAAGTTAGTAGAATGTTGTCCTGAATAAATTGAAATGATCAGCAAAGACACTGTTGACCACGGAGACTGAAAGCAAGTCTGCCAAGCCCATTCTAGAAACTAAGAGTTGTACTAGAGCTCATCTATCACTTGGATCTGAGAGGAATGGCTAAGAGGGAAAGCTGTTTCCACCATTCCCTGATTCTCTCTCAGCACTCATTTCTTCTCAGAAACTCTGCGCCCGTTCGACAGAAAAGTGCAAGGAGAAAAGGGAGAAAAAGTAATTAGCTACCTCTTCACGGATCTGGTATCTCTTGCCTCGCCTTCGCCTTCCTTTATCCCGGGAGCAGTCTTCAACCTCTGGAAGACTCTAATAGCTGCTAAGTAGGGATAATGGTAGTACTGGTTTCTCTGCCAGGTCATGAAGGTGCTGGTATTCCACTTGCCTGGCCCATTTAGATGGTGTGAAGATAAGTTCAGTCACGTTTCATCATATGTTAATTTCCATCTTTCATCTGACAACCTCACAGAATATTACAACATTCTGCCTTGCAACACCTCTGTGAGGCAGGGTAGTGAGTAATATATATTATTGCCCCCGTTTGGAAGCTATAGGAACTGATTCAGAAAGAGCTGTTCAAGGTCATGTGTCCTCAGCATGCAGTAGAACTGGAAAGAGATGAATCAATTCTGTCTGGTCATCATTGGCATTAAGTTGGCTCAGGCTTCCCCCTCAGTCCTCATTGCACCAATCTGACGTTTGTAAAGCTTCCCAGCATGATCTAAATTCAAAG